GACAATCCTGGTTTCCCCCACATCTCTGGATTTTACAGCAGAAAAAATAAGTAATCACATAATAAATTTAGCGATATAGAGTAGTGCGCCATCAAGCGACTAATGTCAGTTATTGTGACACTGCACAGCGCCCTTGTTGACGAATTAAATCTAATAGCAAAATTTGATGCGCCGTAAAATATTTTAGAAAAAACAAATCGTTCAAAAAAATGTTTTTGAGGAATAATAGCAGACACTAGTCTTCAACTGGGTTACATATGGTCTATCTATCTAAGGCCAGGGACAACAATATCAACAAGTTTGTTTTCGATACGGATTTCACTTTGGTGAATACACTTTATAGATTTATAAAAAGTTCTATCGTCGGATAAGAGAAAATATTGTGCCTTTATTGAAACTCTTCTACTGAAAGAACCCAAGCTCAGTAACGACAGACTCCTGTTTATTCACCATAACGTACATATCTTGTATTTCAGATATGATTGCAATGCATGCAGGCACGGCTGCTGATATGTCAAACATTTCAATGTTAATCTTTTTGTGGAAACCAACGTTTTTACATGCGACATGGATGAACATGTTTTGCGTACAGTCATTTTACGATTTGTTTTTTAATTTATTCGCTTAATTTTTGAGAATAATACTCGCATGTACCCTATAGAAATTACTGTGTTTATAATACTTCTTTGCTAACATTTCTCACTACAAGTTTTATGTATGAGCGCCCTCTCGTGGCGATCTGTGTAGCCAGTTGCAGAAGAAGTCCGCATAGATTGATGTTAACGTGTTTAGCGCAATTGAGATGTGTTCCCAAGTTTGCACGAAGCATACTACCTGATCTGGTGATTAGGAACAGTAATTTGTCTTTCAGGAATTTGAATTTCAGGATTTCCAAATACAGCGGCTCTTTAAAAAAAAAGTAATGATGGGACTACGTTTGCTCATCAACAGCATACACGCGATTTGTTCTTTTCACGAAAATTTAGATTCGATTCGAAAACCAAATTGCACCACTTGCCCGACCGGGAAAAAAAGAAACATGCTGGTACGAAGAACAAAACGAGGGAGCCAATACGAGTATCTGGGTTTGGATATATACTGGCAATATGCAACACAGCAATGAACAGGGGTATCTGGCAATCACAGCAAGATCGATGATTGCTGTGAATAATTCCAAAGGGGAGTTAATAGTACGCCAAATAACTAATAGACAAGACCAATTATATGTGAAACGGACAACTTGGGTGCACAGTGATGTGCCCAGGGCTGTTTTTTTTTTTTTTTTTTTTTTTTTTTTTTTTTTTTTTTTTTTTTTTTTTTTTTT